TATATATATATATATATATAATTACTATTTACAAATAAATATTTAAATTTTTCTTGAATAAGAAAATATTCGTAAAATGATGAACTCCACTATTTATGACTTTTTTAAGTACCCTTTTTTTTTGCAGTCTTGACTCGTACTTGCTAACCCCTGTCCCAAATGCACATGTGGATGTAGAAAAAAATAATTTTTTTACACTTTATACGTGCATTTTTGAATACCAAAAATTATTAATGACTGTACTGATACCATGAAAATCTATTGTAATTTATCAGGCTTCCTAACTATGCTGTATTTGGGTCTAAAGAAATTAATTTCTGTTTGGAAAAGAGCATTGATCATAATACTTCAAACTCTCCAGTGATATAAGAGCTTTTCTCTCGTAAATAACTTAGAAAGACTAACAGAATTTCATAGAGGAAATGTAGAGCTTTCAATTGGTTATAAACTTATAGGTATAGAAAAGCAGGCGTAGATAAACAAGTCTTCTCAAATGATGAAGTGGTGGGCGGAGCCAATATGGTGGATTCAATAAATATTATGATATCTCAGCAAATAGAAAAGGTAGGTGGTTCTTGCTTTATATTCTAGCTTGCCAGTATTGGAAATTTGAGTTTATTATTTGTATGAAATGATAGACATTGTACTGTCACTGTCATAAAATGTAATCTGACCAAACACAGAAGATGGCGTACCAGTGTGACACACACAAATCAATATTTGGCAATTTTTTTATATTTACTTTCAAATCAAGAAATTAATTAATGTATAATACTAAAACATGAATTATATTTTACAATTTCATACCAAGTTTATTGACATCCATTTATAAAATAGTAGTTCATTCAATAAAATTTTGAATGTAAGTCTACAAACGTGATGACATGCCTTCTTACCCCTATCCATTTCGATAGGGTTACATAATCCTCACCTGGTTCCTAATCAACTTTTGGTCATAATTTTGTATTATGAAGTGGCAGTAGGGTGTATTGTTTTTGGAAATTTCTTATTGTGTGTACTGAATATGTTTCTTATTTGCTTGTATTTCGAGGACTTCATGTAAACATCCTCCTGAAGAGGCTGTATTGTGTTTTGTATCTTATACCTCTTCATTTTGAGAAGCAACTAAGGAAACTAGTATAGCTAACCAATTAAATTTATTTAACTACACAATGGAGTGTACATTTTGTTCCTGAATACTGATGTTTTATTGTTAACATATTTTGGGTCACTCATCATGAAGTTTTTTTGTTTTTTGTAACTTCTTATGTTCCATTTGATATTCCTCTCATTTTCTGTTTTGTAAAATGGTGTCAAGGTAGATTTTTTATGTATTATTGCAATTCCTTGTTATAAATTTTTATTTTTTTAGATCACTAGATGGCCGACTTCAGGTGTCACATCGCAAAGGATTGCCTCATGTAATCTACTGCAGGCTTTGGCGTTGGTCAGATCTCCAGACTCACCATGAGCTACAGGCTGTCGAGAATTGTGAATATGCTTTCAATTTGAAGCGAGACGAAGTGTGTGTTAACCCTTATCACTACCAGCGCATTGAAAGCCCAGGTATAAAAACATTAATTAGTATTTCATTGATATCTCCTTAAAGTAATGAATAAATAAAAAGAACTGAAAATTTGTGAATTGTTACACATTCCTGAATAGCTTTTTTGTATTTTGTATTGCTGTTTTTCTTTCACACATTTTTAGTGTAAGTTTGTTTTAGTATAAAGTGTTAAATAAGTGAGAAAATCTTGAAAAACACCACTTTTCTCTTGCCATTTTAAAAAATTAGTGTAGTATTAAGTAATTGAAAAAGTCATTATAGTTTGATTGAAATTCATTTTGAGGTTGTTCTTGATTTACAGAATTAAATAGTTGTATCATAAAACTTCTGTAACTATTTATTTGCTAAAGTTGTAAAAGTAAGTATTAGTAAAGTATTAAATGATAATTATCAAGGAAAGATATTTTTTTTTATAAGTTAGTATATTTAATAACATAACCCCACCCCCTCAAAAGATTCTTACTTTGCCTTGTAAAAGCTTCATAATATTAAATTTTTCTATGGGTATATGTAAAATAGGAATAGAAATTTTTTAATCTTAAAATGGGTCCTAGAGAACTATAATTCTCATATATTAGCTGGATTATCGAAAGAATGCTTTGGACGTGACAGCCTTACGACAAATCCTTTAGCAGTGGAAACTACGATGCAGGCTATTTTCAGGGTGCATAGTATTCAGATAAAAGCATTAGTTTGGACTGTAAAAGATGTGGTGATTCTTTAAAAGTTAAGAGAACTTTTATGTATGACACAGAAATCAGATCTAAATTAAATTTTGGAAATTCATATCAAAAATGATAATTCAAAATATAAGATGAAACTTGTCTTTAATTAAACTTTAGAACCTTTGTTCCTAAAATAAATATCATTTACCTGTTTTTAAAGTAGAAATGGAAAATTCTCTCTTGAAACATGCTTACATGTAAATAAGCTGTGGACCTGTTATGTTTAAAATACTCTTCACAAAAATGAAAACTTGTATTGAGGTGCAGTTGTTAAATGAGCTTACATCACTCTAAAATAAGTGTGTTTTGAGGATTTTATTACTCTTTATAACCAGATTACAAGTTCAAGAGGTGGTAAATATATAGAATTTTGAGAAGAGTTGAAATATTTGTGTTTATGTGTGTGAGTGTATGAGTAAGTCTTACAATTTAGAATTGTGTTTGTAAAGTCAGGAAAGTTTTTTTAAAACAGTTTGGATTACCTGTCATGTAAATAGTAGCTTTTCTATTAATATGAACAATAAAGGCTTTTTTTATTTTCTCTTTAGGGTATTTAAACAAAAAGCATAGAATTTAAATTACTAAATAGATTTCAAACAACCACAGTCTCGTTGATTTATTCTGTTGCTTTAACCCTTTGAGTACTGGACCAGGAAAATAAGCTGGGGGCCCCCCAAACTGAGGAAAATAAAAACATTTTAATCTTTATTAGGTAGTAAGAAATGCTGTAAAAATGTTGTAAATTCCCACTTGCCTGCTCTGTTTGCATTTCTTTTCCCTCCAATTATACCCACAGGCTCACATGATATTTGTTCCTTTTATCTCCCCATCATCTTCCATAACCCAACACTGGTGGAGATTGTTTGTCACATAATACACAGTTTGTAATACAAGAGAATAATGTAGAATGTTTCACCATGCATAATAGTAAACCACTAATGTTACACTGAATAATTTGACTATTGTATTTACATATTATTTTTATCAGTACTTTTTCAGAGGGTGATAATCTCTTAAACAGTTTTCAGTGCACAATGCCACATCACAGTCTACACCAATACCATGTGTCTTTTCTCTTTGGTTCCCTTCTTTGGGTGTTTGCACACACAAGCTTTTGGGCACTTTTATTTTTTCTGATGGTGGCAAAGTTTTATTAAAGTGCCTGGCTGTGAGTCTGTTAGGAAAATTTGATGTATGTGGTATTGTACTTACTTGGCCAGTATGTGAATGAGTTGTCATGACAACAGCTGGTACGCTACAACCCAAATAAAGTTGTGTTTTTTTACCAGTTTTCACTAAATAAACATTGTAGGAGTTCAGCATGGGAATATCAACCATGTGGAAAAAGTTTCTTATACCACTTATTTTAGTTTACATATTTTGTCTCTTACATCAAAGTCTTCATTGTCTGCAACGTGTATCTTAGAAGTAACAAAAAAGTGATCTTTACTCATTAATTTACCAAATATAACTGTATTGATCGGAGGGTGTGTTGACCATTAATTTTTAATTGAATGCTTCTTCACATGTGGCATCAATAACACCAATGTTAGAAAAATATACATTTCATCAATGCATATGTCTATCTATTTCATTCCATATTCAGAATCATGAGTACAGTAAGCCTAGTATTTGTTTATTTCAATCACAATGTGATTCATCAATATTCCATCAAAGAACAGCTGGGGATACTTATATTCACAACTTTCATCAGTAATACCACAGTCATCTCTTATCACAACAAGGCATTTTGGGGATAAATTGTCCATTACCTTACCAAACAAAGTGTGGTGGTGGTGTGGGTTTGTGGCAGGTGGCATAGGAATTGCACAAACAGAAGTTGGAAGGCTTAGGCTTATCAATTTTGCTATCACTCTTATCACTTGTAGTTGAAGATTGAGCAGGTTTTTCTTCCACCTCATACTCAAAATCACCTACAGTCATCTAAATTATACAGTGAAGCTATGACATTCTCACAGTTGGGGTCTAAATACATTGAAGAGCTTAAGTTTCGCATTCCAAATCTTGCCTATAATGAGAGGAATGTGACCAGGACTAATCTTTTAAGTACACATCAGATAAATCATTAGCTTGGGAGTGCCAACTTGAGATCCTTCTGCAATTGTGGTGTATGGATAACTGACAGGCTGGAAGATTTTTCCCAGTACTAATTACAGTTGTTGGTGACAATATATGTGGCTGGATGACACACCATCCCATTCAGATATGGGTGAGAGAAGGCAAACTGTACTATGCCAGGTGCAGTTGTGTTACTGGCAACCATTCTAGTATGGTACAGTACTGAAAGGGTTAAGCTTTCTAGCTACTTGTGCCTCTCCTTCAGTAATTATAAGTTAGGTGTTAGACTTTTTAAGTATTAATTAAACAAACAAATCACTTAAACTAAATACACTGTTGTTATTAAAATGGTAAATGTACATTTACTGGGAACTACTATAAAGACATTATACTAAGAACTTAAAGCTCTACAACATATTGTCAGAACCTGTGCAGCTTAAATATCTTTTGTCTGTATAAGGCTATATTGTATATTTATTTATCCTCAGGTATTCATTGAGAGCTATTATGTAATAATTTCCCACTATTTGTAAATAAACATTGAACAATATAGGTTTGTGTTTTCCTTGAACTCAACTTTACAGAACCTGATAGGTGTTACTATCCAGTTATTTTGCAGATATTAATTTTTGTTGTTGTTTTAGCAGTTTAATCTGATTTTTGGTAAGAAAAATTTAAGAGGAGTTTTCTTATAAGTTTCTTTTGAAAATGTTGGTTAACAGATTAATGCTAAGTAAAAAATAATGACTAAGAAAAAATGTAAAGTTTCATCAATTTTTTAAGATGAATTAAAACCTTTAGTTCAGTTTTAAAGACTGTTTTTATAAAAATAGGTTTTGTTAATTTTTATCCAGTGTTTGTAGGAATAAATGTGTGTGTTTTTAACCCTGCCAGCAATACTGGTGCCATGTCAAACAGGAGATATTCCTGTCGACCTTCCTTCCCTGGATGATTACTCCAACTCAGTCCCAGATAATACTGACTTCCCTGTTGGGTTAGAGAATCAGTCATTCCCTCTTACAGGTGAATTTTATTTTCAATGTTTGTTATTTGACTATAATGATTATTCTACATGATAATAATTTTAATTTTAGTATTATTTTTTGTCATAAAGATAATTTTATGTTGTTAGGTTAGTATATGAATTTAGGATATGTATCATTTTTACCACAATTCTTGTATAGCGGCTTAAATAAGTGAAACTTTTATCAGTGCTGGTCAGAATATTTAACATATCTACTTTAATTTTTTATTCATGATTAAACTTTGTTTATTATTCTGTGATAATTATTCTGCATTGTCAGCTTATTATATCAATTTTGGATTAACCTAAGCCTCCTTGGCTGGCCAAAACTTGTAACATATTATTGGGTTTATAGCCAAAGATATTATTAACAGTCAGGGTACCCAGCTAATGATTACAGTTCATTCTAATAATATTTAATATAGTTTGAACATTATATTTAATTAGTTATACTCCTTACTAGATGTGTATTTTAAGTTCTGGTCTGTATAGGAAGCTTTCTTTGATCAAAGGTTAATATTAATTTGTTAATCTAACTACTGCTATATTAATTTTATAATGCATACATATAGCAGAAGCTTGAGGGTTTAAAAGCTGGTGACTAGTTTTACTTGAGTTTCACATATTTTTGCAGGCTTGTATTTTTAATTTGCATTTAGTTATGTTAATATAGGTGGCTTTATAGTCACCATAAGTGAATTTGTAATGATCCATAGGGGTAGACAGAATGTCTGTAGTTTTAAAGAAGTTTCCAATTTAAAAGGATGATCTGAACACTAGCTGTAATTTGATTTGTGAGTAAACGTTTTTTAATAGTTTGCAAATCTGTATTTGGACAATAAAACTATGTTGTCTTAAGAAAGGGGTCACAAGAAGTAATGGGAATTTTGCAGCTTTGGGTGGTACCTTGTTAGGTGCTATTTTGCTTGTTAAGAACGTACGTGTTAACTTTTCTAGGAGATGTATGAGATAGCTATTATTTTTTGGAGTGTTTTGTACAAATTTAATCTCAGATTGAATTTGGGAATAGTTTGAACATATATTTTAAGTTCTGTTAACCCTTTTGCAACGGGTACCCATTTACTGAGTTACATTCAAAATGTAATTAAGAACTTTACTATCAATGTATGTCAGTGAATTGAACATTATAATGTATGTTATAATTTTAATTCCTTTGAAATTGCTTCAAAAGAAACCTCAAAAAAAATACTTAAACTTCAGTTTTGTTCTCACATGACCCAAGAGCTATGAAAAATCTCAACTATTGCACTCTATATCTTGAATCAGATACTGCCAGTCCTGTAGCTGTTTGTTTAGACAATAAGTATGTTTACTTGCCCTATTGACATGTGAATTTCAAAGTTCTTTGGCTGAATCCAGTACAAAGAAATAATAAAAATTGCTAACCTTTGACAGGTGCCACACCCACCTTCTATACTTAGCCTTGAGCTTTACAAGCCACATGTAGTTACTTGACACATGCATTTATAATAATTAGAAATAACACATTTTACACTGTAATCTAACAATGGTTATTTTAAAATTGGTGTGCAGTTATTATTATACGGTAGATGTAACTGCCAGTAGTATTGATTTATCCACAATAGCTTTTATGGTTGTTTCTTACCTAAATATGTTGCAGTTAGAGAGGCAAATCTAGTTTTTGTATTTGTTATTCTGTTTCATGCTTATCAATTGCAGTTATCATTATCATGTTCTGTTTAATTTGTGGATTTTCCCAGTTTTCTCATGGTAGCTAGGTCTTCCATATTTCCTAGACTTGATTGGTCATGTCTTTCTGATGTTAACCTTAGGCTTATATGTGTGTAATTGAAGGGGGGGGGGTAAGTGTTTCAACTGTGATGATTAACGATTGAAAATTCTGAGTCTGATTTTGTAAATTTGATTGTTTTAGTTCCTACCAAAGGCTTATCAGTAAGAAGTTTTGACAGCCATGTTAGTTTTATTCTCATAAGCATCTATACTAAACATTTATCTCACTAAATATTCATGTTATTGGCAATTGTTTTTGTTGTGAATTCCCTCCCACCCATACACACACACACACACACATGTTGGTTGAATGTTGATTTAACCCGATACTTGCCATGGCCATTTTGTCTTATTGTGAGGGCAAAATCATTTGTGAATTGAAAAAATGATAGAGAACTTATCTTTTATTGGATTTCAGATTTTATTATTGTAAATAGTAGCAAAATTGTACAAAATTGTATTATTTAATGAAGTTTAAAGAGGAATTTAATGAAAAAATTCCTAAAATACGTTTTCGACTGTAAATAAGCACCCTCTAAGAAGAAATTTTTTTTTTCAACAATTTTTTTAAGATATTTCCTTTCACTTTAGCACTGGTCATGCCATCTATGATTGGTATTATCTAAACCTTTTTCTAGTCTGTTTTCTTTATAAAACTGCATCTAGGCGTCTTAAACCTCAGTTGTAAAACTTTTAGCCAATCCTAGTCGAAGGTGTCAATTTCAGTATCAATTATTCCAATTGCTGTATCTCACAGTTGACAAATCATAGGATGATGAGGAAAGCACGTGATGAAATGTTGTTCTCTGGATTTTACAATATGAATGTGGGTGGTGCT